ACTTCGAGACTGTGTTGTGCTGAAACCGGGAACAACAGTTGGAAAGTTGTTTGATATCATGCTTTATCCACCAGTATCTCTTTTAGCTGGAGAGTATGTTAGAGCAGAAGGAGTTGACTCCAATGGAACAAAGAAAGTCTTGCACAAAAATGACCTCATGAATGAGTCCAATCAGATTGTGAAAATTATGAGCACTAAGAAAGCTTCTTATTCTGCAAAAACTAGAAGTTAAAAATGAAAATGGTTCTTATAGCACAAGTACATAAATCTTTTGGTATGACCAACCTATAATGCAGAAAACCAAAAAGTTCCATTGAAAAAAACTGTAGTCAAAGATGTCTCGATATAAAATAATAATAGTCAGTAATGCTCATAAATTTACATCTTTATTATGTAATACATTCTCCTACCTATTCTGAATACACTTGTTAATGAAACTATTTTTGTAGAAGTAAAAAGGTTTTAAGTTTGGTGAATATTTTTCTGTATTCTTATAATAAATAATTATAATTAATAAAGCAGAGATTAATAAGGAGAAGACCAAAATGCTGGGCACTGTAAGGGGTCAAAAGAGCTAATTAATCTTTGTGTTCAAGTACCGGTATATCCTTTTCAAAAAATTCATCCTCGGTATAAAATTTCAGTCCACAATTTGCTGCAAATTCCTTATCACTTGCACTATGATCTTTTTTTCTTCCTGCTGCATCACCAACAAAGAAACTCTTCTCTTTGTCAATTTTGACATCCCCATTACAGTTCTGACAGAAGAACTCCCACATTGCTGTGTTGGGTTTGCGATAGTCATCCTTTGTTGTTGCCACAAGTATTTGGAATGGAAGACCAACCTGAAAAAGGAACCATTATTTCATGACAATAATCAAACTTTCCAGGGTTACGAATAATATTGGTTTTATCTAATTAACATATATGACACAGACAATCAGTCACTATTTATTTGGGAGAATAAGACCAGGTTTTACCCAAGGCCAGCTGATGGCGTAAGGGTAGTATAAACAAATGGCAGAGAAATATATATTTGTGAGATTCATTTGTCATAATGAAACTGCTGCTCCTAGAAGTATGTTCTCACACCAAACTTCTAGAGTGTAAATCATCGAGGGAATATCATGATGGCTCTCTCTATTTCTTCAGTGTTGCATTGAATCATTGAAGATGCAACAATATTTTCCCCTTAACGGTTTATTGAAAAGCTAAGCACAGAAATGATTGAATAAGCAGCATAGGGGACTTGACCTTTTAGGATGTGTTTTTGTTTACACCCAGTGATTTTACTAAGCTGCTAGTGCTGTTATTGTTGATAAGGCAGTACAGAGCATTTTAATTTGATGATGATGGTTATGACGATGAAAATGATGATGATGATGATAATGATAGTGATGGGGAGAAAACATAGTCAAATATCCTCTAAAGCAAAACAAAGGTTTTATATATTTTTAATATGTTTCATTCCATTGCATGCCTTGAAGTTCACTGAATTCTTTGCCAACATACATCTGAGCATTCTCACTTTGTGTAAAGAAAAATAATAACAAGTCAATATTGCATGCTCAACTTATGTGCATCCTACCTTGTTGACAAATCCTGCAAGTCTGCCTTTCTTTTCAGCTATAACCTTCTCCTTTGTAGCCTTAGCTTTGCCTATGGCAGCCTGATTGGTGAAAATTACAAGTTTATATCCTGCCTTGTACAATTTTGTCAGCTTCTGTACACACGTAGGATACAGTATAGACCATGCATCAGCGCCATGCTTGAATAAAGATGTCTTAGCTAAAGTTCCATCAAAATCAAAACTTGCAATTTTGTCTGAAGGTTGGATGCTTGGTGATTCAAAGTACAGTAAAGTTCCTTTCCACTTCCAAGAAGGCTCTTGGTTGCCTGTGCCATCAGACTTTGAAATCCCAGTGCTTTTTGAATTATCTTCTAAAAATGAAAAGGACAGGCTGGGTATGAGACGAACATGTGGCACAAAATTTTTGCAGGTTCTAATTGTTGCGATTTTTCCAGCAATTTGCAAAAATAAGTTCAAGCTGAGACTCAGGGATGAAGTGGGGGAGTGAAAAGCTCATTTTTTCCCTTGCAAAGTGGATGTTGTCGTAAGAAAAGGTTGTACCAATTAATAGAATCATCACCTATGGGAAAATGCCTTGATATTAGAACAAATTTTCTCAACTTATCCTTTAATATTTGTATGGAGATCAGTGTGGGGAATTTGTATGCGGATATTGAGGTATAACGGATTATATTGCTAGCTGTACACAACAAACCAAACCAAATGGGGGATAGCTAGAAACTGTGTTTATAATAGCTTCACTCTGTAATTTATTTATAGAATGTCATTTCCTGCCAGTGGGTGTAATCAGGTTCTGTTCTGATTTGCAGCAATAAAAATACATAAAATTGAAATCAAGCATTTCCTACCTACTTTAGAGGCTCCAAAAAATCGCTTAATGTTACTTTGCTTTTCGTGACTTTCAGTTTTCTCGACTTCTTCAATTTTTCTTTTCATTGACCTTCCTCTCCTTTCCGCCATTTGAAATTACGCGTTAACACTGGACAGCGGTTGCTACCATTAAAACACGTGCATATTGCACCAACAACATGGCGGAGTTGTGTATGGTTTTTTGGTCTTGAAAATTGTTCGATTTTCACTTATTTGGACAATGTCTCGACTGATTATCAAGAACCTTCCAAAGAATATAAAAGAGGACAGATTTCGTTCCATTTTCGCAGCTAAGGGTGAGCTAACGGACGTCAAGCTATGCTACACGAAAGATGGAAAGTTCAGGAGATATGGCTTCGTTGGTTACAAAACAGACGACCTGGCGAAAGCTGCCCTATCGTATTTTAATAATTCGTATATTGATACTTCTAAGATATTTGTAGACGTTGCTAAAAATTTCGGAGACCTGTCGTTACCGAGGCCTTGGAGCAAATATTCTGAGGGAAGTTCTGCAAACAAAAGATTGAAAGAAAAACAGGAAAAGAAAGCTCATGGTAAAAAGGAGCAAGATTCCAAATCTGAGCGAACAGAAGACGCCAAAAACGAGAAAATAACTGTTGGAAAAGAGAAGAAAAAGAAGAAAACTATAAAGGTCCTGGAAGAGCTTGAAGATGATGTTGAATTTCAGGATTTTTTAAGTATACATAAGGTTAAAAGCTCTAGGAAAACAAAGGATGACATTAATGCAGAGGGAAATGACAGGGAGTCAAAGAAAAAACGAGCTAGAGAAGAAAACGTGAAAGTGGAATATGATGACTCTGATGGAAGTGAAAAGGAAGATGAAGTTTATGATCCATTAGGTATTTTTATCAAAATTCTTGATCTTGCAACCATGTAGACAACCATGTTGGTTGACAAAACAAATACAAAATTAGGACTATTTTTCCCCCAAANATTCCAAATCTGAGCAAAAAGAAGACGCCAAAAACGAGAAAATAACTGTTGGAAAAGAGAAGAAAAAGAAGAAAACTATAAAGGTCCTGGAAGAGCTTGAAGATGATGTTGAATTTCAGGATTTTTTAAGTATACATAAGGTTAAAAGCTCTAGGAAAACAAAGGATGACATTAATGCAGAGGGAAATGACAGGGAGTCAAAGAAAAAACGAGCTAGAGAAGAAAACGTGAAAGTGGAATATGATGACTCTGATGGAAGTGAAAAGGAAGATGAAGTTTATGATCCATTAGGTATTTTTATCAAAATTCTTGATCTTGCAACCATGTAGACAACCATGTTGGTTGACAAAACAAATACAAAATTAGGACTATTTTTCCCCCAAATTTGCCTGAAAACAGGGTTAAGTTTTCAGTGTTTCGAAATGCTTTTCTTTATGTCAACCAACGTGGCAGCCGTAACAACAGGAGCAAACTAGCTTTGGTGTCTTATGTCTTAAAAGCAGCATCCTCTCTCAAATGCCAGAGTGCTGGTCATGAGTTTTGGGAGTTGCAGTGTTTCAGTAAAGGCAAGGGTATTATTTTTGGTCTGTAGCTCGAAATACCAGTAGCTAAGATCCTTGGACTAGTAAACCTGCTAATGCTCCATTTGTTACTTAACAGGTTGACTTAAAGCTATGTAGAAAAGAAAGAGGTCAAAACATGGAATCATTGTTTTGACTTCTTCAAAAATAAGTCAAAATAACTTTTGCGCCCAAGAGGGCAAGCATCTGAGAAATTGAAGATATTTTTTTTTGTCTCCAGCAAAGTCTGCTGAATGAAGGATAATTTGCATATGTGTAAGTGAAGCAGAGTAAAGATGCAGTGCCATTGCTGTAAACGTAATGTTTCTTTGCAGTTTTTTCCTCCTGAAAGTGTAAATATACATAAAAGCATCATTATTTCCTAATTTTGATTTAAAATGGAAAAGGAGCAAATCAAAAAGCATAAAAGTGGAATATTTCAGTTTGATGTCAAGGATAGACAATTTGTATACTGGCAAAAACAATGCCGAGTGAAATTCAGATCCTTTCCACTTCATGTCTGTTTTTCTTGAATTGTATACATTATATTGGTTTAAATCCCAAAAATTTTGTATGAGGTAAAAGTAATTTACAGGTTGAACGATTGCAGTTTCTAATACTAATGAGAGAAGTACAAAAATGTCCGGTGAACATCTCAAGTAGGAAAAAATCAATTTGCTTATACTAATTACCTTTGTATCATGGAAATGATTAGCTAACACTTTGATCACTCAGAGAATCAAAGGAGGGTGCCTGTGATGGAATGCTTTGTGAGTGCACAAATGGTCACTGAATGTGCATTTCATTAGGCACTATTCCATAATAAAGCTGAAGTGTATCGTAGATCTGTTATTATACTTTTGATTACTATAACGTTTTCATTTTGTTTCAGGATTGGGAGACCAAGGAAGTCAAAATGACAATGACAAAACAGAGAAAGAAAATGAAGAAGAAAACAAAACTGCAAGGAATAGTAAATTGTCAGATATGGATTACTTGAGATCAAAAGTTGTGTCATCTTCAAGAAAACCTCATAAGAAAAAGAAAAGCAGAAAAGATCATGATTCTGATAATGACAGCGTTAACGGAGAAAGTTCAGATGAAGGAAGTGTGGATGTAGATACAAAAGAAAGTGATGATGATGACAATGATGATGAGTATGATAATGATGATGGTGATGATGTACATGACGATGATGATGATGATGATGATGGTGATATTAATGATGGTGATAAAAGAGAAAATTCAAAGGAATCCATAAAATTTGGAACGATCAAAATGAGAGGATTGCATTTCAAAGTTAAAGAAAAATCAAAATGAGAGGATTGCCTTTCAAAGTTAAAGAAAAACACATCAAAGATTTCTTTGCTCCTTTAAGGTTACTTGATATAAGAATGATAGAAAACAAGGAAGGGAAACCAACAGGCTGTGCCTTTGTTGATTTTGGAAGTGAAAATGATATAAAAGAAGCACTGAAGAGAGACAGGGATTGTATTCAGGGTCGATACATAGAGCTGTTCAGAGACAAAGAGAAACATTCAAGTCAGATAGTAGTTAAGGAGAAACCGTGGATGAAGAAGCTTGCTGGAAAAGAAGGAGAAGAGGAATATGAAAGCATTGCTGAGGTAAGTAGGATAACCTGTATCTTGTACAGTCAAACACTGTTAATAATGACTCTGAGGGGGTCAGAGAAGTGTCTGTATTAATTGGGTGTCAATTGATATTAAGGAGGTTGAATATAGAGGAAGTGTAAGGGTTTTCTTTCCCTAGGTACAAAACAAACTGTCAGTAATAATGAGGTGTCCATAATAAGTGGGTGTCCATGAAGTAGGAATTGACTTTAACTTAAGAAATTATAATGACTAACAAGTTGCAGTTACTCTAGAGAGGTGGCCATATTTCTTCATGGTGGTCCACTCTCATGCATCAAATTGTCTTTTGAGTATACTGTTATTTGTCGAACTTTGAGGTTTCTATGAGGTGAAGGTGAATTTCAGCCTCACAGAAACACTAATAATAACCCTACAAATTCCAGGATTTCACCCCTCCCTGATGTGATCAATGATACAAGAATGAGGAACTCTCTGTTACACTGTATAACTGGCGAAAGTCACTCGTTAAAACTGAGCCAAGTTTTTTGGATGCAAATATATTTTATTTTATTGTGATTTTAGTCTGGAAGACTTTTTCTTCGGAACCTGACATATACATGCTCAGAGGAAGACTTGCAATCCTTGTTTGAGAAGTATGGCCCTCTTACAGAAACATATTTGCCTCTAGACAAGACAACTAACAAGCCTACTGGCATTGGGTTTGTGACATTTGTCATGCCAGAGCATGCTGTGAAGGCTTTTAATGAGCTTGATGGAAAATTTTTTCAAGGACGATATTTGCACATCCTGCCATCAAAGGCAAAGGAAACAAAAGAAGAAGTGGCAGGTGAGTTGATATACATGTAGGTGTTGTGGACTTCACCTTCATCCTCCGTTAAATTTTAATTTCTTTTGTTTTTGGATAATATGTTAATGCATGGTTATGAGTTTAAAGTTCAAGTCTATTGTTAGATAAACTTTTGTTAATTAACCTAAAAATTATGCCCTATGAAAGCACACATATTGACCTATTAGCAACAATCATATCTCTGTTCTTTTGTCACACAACGTTCAACATTTGATACTAGTTCAAAGTACAAGAAAGAAAAATGAACAGTAACTAGTTGTTCAATTACAATGTATCCTTCTCCTCTGGCAAAGTCGACTGTAACTTAACATGATATATCTTCTAGACTTCACAAAGGTTCCATTCATAACATCACATGCTCATCATGCATATGTGCTCCTCTTTTTGCTGTACACTGTCCTTTCGCAGTCAGTTCTCTTAGTTCCTAGTGACTGGGGGATATGGGCCTCACCCCCGGAGACTGATCAGGACTGCTGTCCATTGTGGCTACCCCCAGTACCACTCGATCTTGTCTCCCCCTAGGGGGGCTTCTCTCCTGGTCCCCTTACCCCTAGATTTAAGCACTTCCCTGCCACCAGAATTTTGCCCATTACTTTTGTGTGTTTTCTGTTTGGTACCTGGCAAAGAACCTTTATGTGAAACCACTGCCAATTGGAAGAGTTTATTAATCAAAGGAAAATAAAATTTAAACCAGTGAAAAAATTCAATCACAATATATGGGGATTGTATTCACAATGTCATGTGTTTTCCTGTGTCTTTATGTTGACTGTAGTAGGGTTGGTAGGGGTTAGCCACACAGATTGGGAGGTCTTGGGTTAAGTTCCTAGTTGGAATAATTCTTGGGTTCTTCAAATAACTGATGATTAAAGTACTACCTTTGCCCTCCCTAAATTGTGCTGAGATAGCCATCATAGAAATTACATTCCTGTCTCCATAAGGCCAATCAAATTGGGATTGATTTCACCTGTACTAACAGATTTCCTACCCATATCTTTTTCTCCATGCCATTATTATTATCTATATGTTACAGGTCAAATTTAATTTCCAGTTAAAATTTTTAATCCTGGGTGATTCTCAATAATATTTCCTTTGTCTTCTTGGGCTAGGCGAAAAAGGAAATTGTGAATAAACCAAGGTGAAATCAAAATTAAACAAAAATTTAATTTGACATGTACCATATACACCTTAATAATGGCCTTTGGGCACAAAACCCTGCATGGGGCAATTATTTTTAGTTGCAAATATCTTAAACTGAATAAAGTTGAAGCTGATCCTTTTTTGCAGAAATTGGAACATCCTTCAAGTCAAAACGTGATGCAAAGAAGAAAAGCTTAAGCAGCCAAGATCATAACTGGAACACACTTTTTCTGGGGATGAATGCAGTAGCTGATGTTATGGCAGATAAGTACAATACAACAAAAGGTGGCATTTTAGATGGTGCATCATCAAGTAGTTTGGCTGTTCGTATGGCTCTTGGAGAAACACAAGTCGTTACAGAAACTAGGAAGTTTCTTGTTTCACAGGGAGTCAAACTTGATGTTTTTGGGCAGGTGTGTTTCTCGAGAACTTTTTCGAATGCATTCTTACCTGTAGCAGCATGTAATCCCTTAAGCTAATGCTGAGTCAGCACTTATGCTGAATCAAATGGGTTATCATAGGCCACACCCATGGTACCCTTCTTTTGCATGTGATGATAACCATTTGACACATATTACTGGTATATCAATATGTGCACTATTAAGACCAGGGTTCTTTTTTTGCAATTTTATGGGTCAAGATGATCAATCAATTTTATGCATTAAGGTCAATAAAAATGCAAAAAGATATCCAGCCATATTGACCAGCCATATTGTTATTTAAAGATCTATTATCTGGTCATGCAAGGACATCTTTTTGTGGGACCTAAGCTCGGCATGATAGAACCATCTTGTCTACTCAGGTTGCCTATCAGAATACAGGGTTCCTGTGCTTTTTGAATTCTCTTTTCATCTTCTGAATTGTCTGCCAATTCCTCCTGCTCGTACTCCAGCCAACATGGGATGCTCTTAAGTTTTTCCTGCTTTTGTATCAAATCGAGAGAAGCTTTCAAGGACTTCTGGGCCGACGAAAAATCCCCTTTCTTGATTGTATCAAGTGCAAAGAAGCTACAATCCTAGATTTCTGCAATAAACAAAAATTTTTACTCTTTGCTTCTGAATTTGAGGGTACCTTCCATTTGTCAGAACTGGCCAGCTGGACCAGTCAGTTAGCAAATGAAATGGGAATTTTCCATAGGGTTTTTGCTGAAAAACCATCTCCTTCACAGTGCATACTATTTAGGATCTGACTGATATGGCCGGATAGTTTTGATTAAAAGTGAAATTCTCATTAAGACGGGAATGGTCTGGCCGGTCAGTTTTGACAAATGGAAAGCACCCTGAGTTTCTTGGCCTTATTCAGGGATCGGTTACCCAAGTTCCACAAATTAAACCAAATTGTCAATAAATCACTAAAAAAGAGAATATTACCTCTATTAAGCAGCTTATTTTAATTAAGAAGCCACTGGTACCTTCCCCAGCTGTGACCACTTATTAGAGGGTTGTCTCTATTTGTAATGATGATCTCAAATTGAACTGTAGGCTTTTCCCCCAGAAATTTCAGGAAGCACAGGTTGATGTGCAAGTGCTTTCATATGTATGTCAGCCAATGTCAACAGGACTACACACACCCAGATGGTCATATTCCACCTGCTCTCATATGATTATTTAAAATGAAAAGTTTGAAATTATTGTCAGCTAATTTTTGTTGAATGATATACATTTTTACAAATGTAAGCCTTTGGCCTCAGCTAGTCAAAGCTGATTTCATTTCAAATTGAAAATTATGCCCTCTTTTGTCTCTAGTCCTCTGCTAAACGAAGTAAGACTGTCATAGTTGTGAAAAATCTTCCCTTTAACACCACAACTGATGAACTGAGAAATGTATTTGCACCATTTGGAACTGTTGCCAGGCTTGTGCTGCCTCCATCGGGAATCACTGCTCTTGTGGAATTCTTTGAACCAAGTCAGGCTAAAAAGGCCTTCCAGAAGTTGGCCTATAGCAAGGTAATAATTTTATCTATAATTAGGGTAATGTAGGTCTTACATTTGAATAGGTGGATGGAATACTATGGTGTGACCAATCAAATAAAGCTTCTTTAACAGTTCTTTCACATGGTATTATTTATTTAGTATGTAGTTCTAACCTTTGAGTCTGTGAACAAACCCTGTGGTGTGACCATTTATTTAAACAAAGGCCCCTTTGTTAGCATTTTTGTTTGGCACTATTAGTAGTAAAGGTGTTTTGTAAAGATGCAATTGGTGCCTTTGTAAAAATTAAATTCGGAGGTGGTGCGGGTTTGAAAAGGTTGATTATTGCCTTTCTTGGGAATGAAACTTTATCAGTGTACGTTCATAAATGCTGTTAATAAGTGTCCTTCAAATGAAGCCCTGCTGAATCAGAAGTACATCTTTGGTTCTTGCATACCTAGATTTGGACTGCTCAGAATAGTAGTCACCAAAAAGGAATTGAGACGCTTTGGAATAGCTTGTTGCATGAAATGTGGGAATGACTCTATTGAACATGCATTCTTTGAATGTCAGTCCTTTAAGAAATTATGTGACAACTGAGTTTCTTCAGTGGTTCATCAACTTGCGCAATACAAACGTTAGCCTTACTTCGCTGCAGATTTTTCTCAATCTACCAACTGTAACTATCAATCTATCTGATAAAAAGATAAAGGAACAGCGTCGTCTTCTGTTATACTTAAAACGGTACCACTACGCATGCAAACAATGGAAAAGAAAGCTATTACATCCGAATTTATATCCAAGTTAATTAGTCAGCTTGAAATAGACTCTTAGCTTGATGTGACTGAGTTGTACAATGCTTTTTAGGCGGGCTCAAACAAATCTTCTCTCTGTTCACCAACACCTTCTCCTGTAGTAATACCTCTGTCTCTGTGTGCGCAATATGTAAACGTTCTTTTCTTTCTATCTCTCTCTTTTCTTTTTCCTTTTTTTTTCTTTTTACTTCTCTATGTACTGTAATTAGTGTATTTAGCTGTATATTGTTGTTTACATGTGCTGTACGTATTATGTAAGTTTTTTTTTTCTTTAAAGTTACTAATAAAGTTGAATAATAATAACAATAGACCTAGATTTGAGAATATCTACAATTAATTGTTTGAAACTATCTTGAAATAAAAAAGAATACATTTGTACAAACTGTTGTGCATAGAAGAAGACTTTTTGAACAAGAGTAAGAAATTTCAAAATTTACAAATGGGCTAGGAACAAACATAACTTCCATATGCGTTAAATGAAACAACCAAGGGGAGACTTAGGCAAATGTTCATCCAAAATGGCGGGAAATTTGAAATATACTTTAAAGCATCATTGGCCAATCAGAATCCATACAAACTTAATCAACCAATCACATGTCGAAGCAAAGAAGGGTAGCCTGTTTCAAGCGCGGGAAGTGGACGCGTGTGACATGAAATAAATGCGTTCATGGGGATACTTCACTCGTGTGGGTAGAAACGTTTATGAAAATACGTGTGCGAAAAATTTCCTAAAAATTTACAAAACATTGACGAGTATTAACGAGTATCTTCAAGTGAGCTTCAGTTGCTGTTTGATTATTATATGTAGACTTAAAAAACTAGTGCTAACTCCTACCGTCTTGGGTAATTTAGTTAGTTTTCTTATGGTTTAACAGTTTAAGCACGTTCCACTGTACCTGGAGTGGGCTCCACTCGGTGTGTTTTCCGGTAAAGCAGAAGAGAAAGACCTTCAAGAAGCAAAAAAAGACGAACAGACGAGCGAGGATAAGGTACATTTTTAACGGGCAAAATTACTGCGATCCAAACGACTCCAACAATGTTACTTTTAGGGTTTAAAAAAACATTTCAGAACGCCTTGTAACATTTTAAGCGACGCCGAAACAGTAACTAAGAGTAACTGTTTTCAACTGCATGGGTAATCTCATTACCGGCGATAGAAGCTAAAACCTCACTTGCACTAGCCAAACAACATTTGGACCCATGAGTGGGCTTTGTGATCGCAGGATGTAAAATTTATAACCTTTCCCATAGATAGTTATTTTCCTTTTTTTCTTCGTACTCAAAAGCTGAACTTGCCATGCGCTTTTTTTGCCCCTTTGCCGTTTGCAGACTGAAGAAAGCTCTTTTCCTGTTTTCTTAAAACTCTAAGTATTTTAGTTTAAAGACTTAAGTTAATCGGCAATTTTCTGGATTTGTAGCATAATCGTTTTTAGGTTTTATGCGAAAGTGAACCTTAAGCATTCTGATACTTGTAGTGTTAGGTGAAAATAATCCTGTATTGTGGGTGGGGGATGTAGTGCTTATGGAGGGGTCGTTTTGACCTATATTTTTGCAAAATACAGAAAATTGGTCGTGTACTTAATATTAATCGTTGTTCTTCGGAGCAACGGCTAGATAAGGATTACATAAACGTGACCCTCTAGTTTACCCCGTGCCTGGATTTACACCTAGGAAATTTCAACTATCTGCAAAATGAATGTTTCTTTGAATTTTACTCAGATTAAAGAAACTATTGATGAGAAACAACACGAAGTGGATAATCCAGAAAACCCCGAAGGAACAACAGTGTTTGTGAAAAACCTTAACTTTAATACCACCGAAGAATCATTAAAAGAGGTACTGTAAATAGTGCGATTGTAGTCAAGGGACGACTATTTTTCTCAAGACGTTTTAGCTTCAAAGTTGAAATGATTAACCTTTTACACTTGATCTAAAACTGACTTGTGCCTCGGTGTGGAAGCTTGATCATGGATTCACAGAGGTACACAAATCCTTGGCACTCTAAACGTCTCGCGTTACATTCTTTTAAACACTTAACTGGTTACAGCGTGAGGGTTTAGCATGCTGCCTTTTATTAATCTGGTGTGAAGGCTTTGTTATTTCATTTGATAATGGCTTATGGACAAGCCGAACTGTCTTGAAACTAAAATAAAAAAATGTCAGTGTCAAAGCAATTATAAATTAGGTACTGTACATTGCTCTGTACGATTGGTAACTGATAACTTTTCCCAATGCTTTGAAAATACCTCGAAAAACGTTTTATACTAAACAGCCATATAGGCATTGCTTAGACGAAAAAAAAAACCCATGTTCTTTTGACAGTGCTGTGGACTCAATTTCTTCGTGAACCTTCTAACACCAATATTGACGTTAGTTTCTGTCCATAAAATTTAATTTGTGGTGTTGGCACAGAATTTAATTTGTTTGTGTTTTATATTTTATATTTTCGCAGACGTTTTCAAGGTTGGGCCCTCTTCTTAACACAGTAATAGCAAGGAAAAGGGACCCCAAGACGCCCGGTATGTTTGCTAAGAATAGCACAACAGTGGTCAATATATCTGATATTTCCATAACGCAAGTACTTCGAATTTTTTACCATTCCGACAATTTGTTCTCTGATCACTTAGAGTTTTTTTCCTGGCATTGGTGTTCAAAAACAAACTTAACTTTGTATCTTCAATGCTGGTTCTATGGCAGCAAGCAAGCACCAGGGTACTGAGTCAACCACCAACTGACCGGTGTCCCCCTCCCTAGCCCTAATTGTTTTTGTAACCGTGTCCTTAATTTATTTTTTAGAAAATTTGTTGTCTATGGGCTATGGTTTTGTTGAGTACAAAAATAGATCTGATGCTCTACAAGCTATTAAACAACTACAGGTTAGTGGTAACTTGTGTTTAGTGATAGACAATTAATTTCCCACAGTATGCATGGAATGTAAATTACAAAGGTAATAAGGAAAAGGAAAAATTATCTTCCTTCCTAGAGAAGTTAGCGTTCCGTTCTTCAAACATTTAGACAAAAAAAACAAACTGAGCTACTCTATTAGTCCACGTTCCGATGTTCCCATCCAGTAAGCAATGATTTTTGCGTTTCCCGCGGCCGCCATTCGGTGACTGTATGCCCTCTAGCGGAAGTCAAACGCGAGCTGCCTGGGTAAAAAAATCTTAACCGATCTGTGAAATCGATTAACAGGTTTTCTGAACTTGCATTGATTTCCAAAGCAGGTGTTTCTACGTGCTTTACCAGTGGATTTCCTTTTTTACTGACCATGTCTTCCTCCGCCGGTTTCCAAGCAAACTGTGCCGGCAGCGGTAGATGAAAGAAAATATTTTGCATATCTCTATGCCTCCAAACTAAAACCGCACAATTAACAGTTGGTTGTAGTATTGTGCTGTACACGCATGATAACTTACTACTGTCTGAAACTCGCTGAGTCACGCGATAGGGTGCATGTTATTAACGTGCAGTAAGAATGAACGCAATTTGAGAGGAAAACTGTTTTCTGATAATCACGTAGTGTTATAACCTCCATTTTCATCCGAATTGTAAAGAAAAATTAAAGGCCAACAAAAGAAATAACAAATCAAATCCTCCCTTTCGCCGCTACTGGGTCTCTAACCTCCGTCTCCTGTACACTTCTCGCTGCCTTTCATTAATAGAAAAAGCCTTGTCAGCAATTCTATTTGTCCCTTGGATTGACAAATCGGATACCAAACATGGCACCAGTTACGCGTTTTCCGAATATTTAGGGTGGAAAAAGCCGCTTCTTTCGTTTCTAAAAGGTTGTTGACATAAATCGCTTTAGCACTCTGTGAACAGTGGCGAGTGAAGTAAACACCTCTTTATTGGTTTTGCAAAATCACGATTACATTTGTGTTTAATTTAGTTCTAAGCTATGTCTTAGCATACTCTACAAAGAACGTTATTGTTGAAGAAAAAGATCCTCCTTTCAGCATGGCTGATAACGTTTTGTACGTCTGTAAAATATATACATCACAAACGTGAGGTTTAAACCAGTATCACTGACTAGAAAAGTATCAGCGAATGCATTTTGTGTAAGGAACACAATAGTTCCGTTAAAAAAAATGAAATAATGCGTGAAAGCATTAAGCGTCGTGTATTTACAATAAAGGCTGTTTTTAACAGTTTGCATTAATCAGAATGTAGAGAACATCTCTATTTTTAGAGAACAACTTTCCAACTGGTCTTTTTTCATACCAGATCACTTGTGTATATCTATACACCGTCGTCTTTATACAGTTTTTCTGTCTTAACTAAATTGTTTTTTTCTTGGCCGTGGATAGGTAAGTAGGTGAAAAACGTTATTTACATAGTGTTACATGCAATAGTTGTAAAACTAACTGATAAATTTGTGACTCCCAAAACGAAGAAATAATTAAGTTTAATTAAATACGATACCGCCTAAAACGGCCGAAGTATTAGTGTAATAGTAAAAATGTTAAAATCGAAAATCTAAACTGAAAACTATTCTTCTTACGACGTCTTTATTCTAGACAACAGGCGTCGATCTACAAGTAAATGAAGTCTATTTGAAAGTGATAGAGGTTTCTGGAATACTGTGTTATGAATCCAGTTTGGAGTCCGCACTCTTACTCACAGAGTAAGCCGCGGGATTTTCACTCGGAATCATCCTGTAGTCCTCCATGTATTTTACTTTAGCCTGTTTTTTCATACTAAATCTTCAGCGAACTGTTTATATCAATCTTTGTGCATTGTGTGTGTCAACTGAAAGTTCGTTTTGCATAATTTAACAGACTGACTCAGGCAGCTGAGAGATGTCTAATTCTCGGCTTTTTGTTTCAAGTTAGTACAAAAACATCTTTTGTTCTTGACGAGCCGAGCGCAAAATTGATGGCGAGCATTATTTAAAGTTATTGGAATATTGAATTGTCAAGCCCTGAGGCAAGGGGTAGCTTTTTGTCGGAACGTTCAGGCAGTGTATGTGGATCTCGGTGACTTATTTTAAATCACAGAGGCCTGGAAGAGATTTGAAACAATCTTATTTTGTATTTTGTACTCCGCAGGGCCACAAGACCAAATCGAACGCACTTTTAGTCCATTTTTCTTGTCATTTTATGTAGAGGGAACACCTCTTTCGTTTTTTAGGCTTCAAATTTTCAAATACTTCTGGAATTTTTTATTGCTACTAATTCTAAGTTAAGTATTCCTTTCTTCTTTGACCCTGGAATTCTTATGCCAATTTAGTGAATATATACTTAAGGAACTAGTTTTTCAGTGTGGTCAGTTAGGAGTAGGATCGGTCTGTCTTAAGAGATTTTAAACAATGAAGAAAATAAGCGAAGAGCTGTCTCAAAACCTTTTGCGAAGTCGTGTTTGTCACGATGAAAGTTGCGGCTTGTTTCCTTTGACGTCAGCTTCAGCTTCAAACCTTCCGTTTTTGATCATGTACCTAAACGGACCAGGCGAAAGTGTTTATTTACGCAAAACTTTGATCACATGTTATTTTCATTTAACGCAAATGTCTCAAAATTTGTATCACCGTCACTGTTAAGTAATAGAATCTGTCAGGCTTAAGAGTTATCGAAAAAGATTGTCGAGTGAAGAGTCTTCTCAAAATCTTCTGCGAATTTGTCTGAAATAAGACACAATTGATACGATGAAGGTTTTGGCTTGCACTCCAATTCGTCGGAGGCTGCGCTTTTCGTAACTGTAGCGATGGGTCCTTCAATCAAGTCATATGACTTGTCTAAATCCTCCAGCATTTTTGCTGTTACCCTGTCATTTCTGAATAAAGACACCATTTTCTTCCATTTTTCTTCATCTTCGTTCAAATTCAGCTTGCGCGGTTTGTTTTCCATATACTCACGACTGACTACAAAAGATAAAATTGCAGGCCTCGCTGATAAACTTTTTGCCCACTTCCAAGCATGGTCTATTCTGTTCGTTAAATAAAATCCTTTTCCACAGGAAAAATCACGTCTTTGTCGACCGGCATATAAATAAATTCCCCGAAGTAAAATTTGGCGCGCACTTTCATGGTCTGTGCCATGGTGCAGGACGATGTTTTGATCGTCTTGTGGCAACGATTCACTGAGTTTAGCCTGAGCGTTGCTACAGGCATTGGATTGCTTTGTCGAGAGGTTTATAATCCTGACGCGGTCAAAGTTTATATTACTCTCTCTTTCTTCGTCAGGTATACTTGTTAAATTAAACCAGGTATTCGTTAGACTGCATTTAAAAGGAAACGTGGGAGTCAGGGGAGACAGCAGAGGATTGTATTTGAATTCGTCCTCAACAAACAACTGTGCCCATTCGCACGCTTCAATGTGCTGTTCCATGGATCCTTGAAATTCCGAGCGAGCCATGATAGTCTCGATGGCTGCGCTTAAAGGATCGAAACCGATAGATTGAAGCATTTCTTTACCGAGAGAGTTTTCGTTTGCTTTGACTGCGTTGTCTTTCAGAGATATTTTGATCCAGTCAGCAATTGTTCGATGGTGACGATGTTCTGGTGGCATCTCGTCAAAACCGTCGAGGAAGTCGAGTTTTAATCCAAGCAAAGCACAAAGTTGCGCTGTGTCGCTTTTAAGGAGATGGTAATCCTCTTCCGTCATCTTAAACTGTGCCTTTTCTTTCTCTTTCCGAACTTTGGTCAAGACTTCTTGTTCATCACTGTCTTCGTAAAAACCTACCTTTTGAATTAAGTCTTTACGTTTTTTAATGACTTCTTGGGCGTTGTGAATTGCGTTTTCGAGATCCTGAAAATTAGCATGTTTCTCCCTATCATTCTCTCTTGTCAGGTCTATTCGGCGTAGCATTACTTTGAATACGAATGAACGTTGTTCGAGGCTCCTTGTGATATAAAAGCGCCCCAGATCGTGGAGAAACCCAATTTCTTCGTCATTCATTATTGTAAGACCTATAAGTTCGTGAGGGGTCATCTTCACACCAATCTTAGTCTCTTCTCGAGCTTCAAAGTGGTGGCTGGACTCTTTTTCAGCTATTTCAACTTTGTTCTGGAAGTCTTCCACAACGTAATCATCTTTCAAAAGGATGCTTTCCGAAAAAAGTGCGTTGAACCTACCAGACTCGTGTGGCGAGTACTTGAATAGCAACTGGGAAAGAATATTGGTGGATAGAGGACTGCAAAGTGAACTAGTTGCCATGTCAAATATATAAATTCAAAAAAGTGTCAAGATCTGTAGTCGTCGTCTTTAGGATGTCTGCTGAAACCTTACGTTTGCTAAATTTCCGTTTGCTCCGTAAAGTGTTCTTTCAATGTTTTGCGTGGCATCTTTTTTTAGCAGGTGACAGCAAATCAGGGAATTGACCAATGATAGGAAGTATTTCTGAGGCGTAAGGAAAATTGGGCCAATCAAAAAGCTTGGGAATCACGACCGAAACTGATGGCCCATGATTCTCGATATCTTAAAATTCTAACGTGGCTTGCGAGACAATGAAAAATTTGCAATTTTGTCCGTAAAGCCTCGGAGTCATGTTAGAACTTTTATTTTTCAGATCAAATGTGGGCTATTACAGCCGTTTTTCCAGCTCAGATCTCTCACGCCTGATTGAGTTTCTCCTTCGAACACAATAACTAGTCTAAGTTTATAACGTTGAGTTTCCGCTTTAGTATCGCATCATGTATAGAACGGTTCTCAAATCCACACGGGAACTATTGCACTTGAATTCCTGCATTTCCTCTCAAGTTTTGCTTGCCCGGGGCTATTTCTTGCTCGTCTTCGTGAATGGGCGTTTTTCAAAAATATCATAATACTCTTTGATGTCTCTCCAAAATTTTGCATAAGCATTGCTTTCAATTTCTTTTCGGGTGATTGTAAGTCCCAAGAGAAATTAAAAAAAGATTGCTTATACAAAATTTTGGAGGGGCATCAAAGAGTATTAAGGTATTTTTGATAAAAAGGCCTATGTAGTTAGAGTATGACTTGCCTGGGCCCTTGCCCATAGGACAAGCATGCTTTAAAAGGTACTTGCCCAACAAAAAAATATGATCATCCCAGACTGACGGACGGGGCTTTTTTCGAGCCCTGGTTGCATCCGATAGGATGGGTGATTGTGTTGATGATGACTTTTCTAAACGTAGCACCTTTTCCTAAGAATCTGATCTAATCAAATATGTATCTGTTTCCATTTTGCTATGGAAACAACGTGACCATTGGCACTTTAGCCAATGAGAATCAGTTCGCCTCTAGAATCAAATTTAGGGAGTAAGGAGAAAATTTCAGATCGTCAGAAATGTGTCGTAGTAGTTAGTGAGACTAACTAGCTGACTTTTACGTAAAAGAGAAACTATCTGGCAGTCGAATTGCTAGCCTGTGCTGTGAGTTCGAAAGCCTCAAGGTATGGTTTTTATTTGGTTCAGTTACTGAGAACTTACTGCGGGTGGGAAATTTATGACTCTTGTAGCTGAAGACGTGATAGACTGGCATATATTCTTACTTGAAGCCTAACGAAGCATACTGTCAAAATCTCCCAACCTTCTATGGAAATTATTGATATTGTGTAGAAAGATTTTAAGGAGCGGAAATCAGGATTACAGAATGTTGCGTATATATCGTGTGAAGTAGTGATGGCTGATTTGATTTTAAGCGTGGAGAACGAATTGAGGCTTATTTGGTCAAGGGAAGGATATACAGATCAAGCAACAGTAGAAAGACCACTGGCNCGAAAGCCTCAAGGTATGGTTTTTATTTGGTTCAGTTACTGAGAACTTACTGCGGGTGGGAAATTTATGACTCTTGTAGCTGAAGACGTGATAGACTGGCATATATTCTTACTTGAAGCCTAACGAAGCATACTGTCAAAATCTCCCAACCTTCTATGGAAATTATTGATATTGTGTAGAAAGATTTTAAGGAGCGGAAATCAGGATTACAGAATGTTGCGTATATATCGTGTGAAGTAGTGATGGCTGATTTGATTTTAAGCGTGGAGAACGAATTGAGGCTTATTTGGTCAAGGGAAGGATATACAGATCAAGCAACAGTAGAAAGACCACTGGCAACTCTGTTATGGTTAGCATGGGTTGGGATCGAGAACTTGCTGTCTTTTGCACTACGCCGCCATCTTTGCTCGTTCCTGTGTTCTGTTAGCTCCACTGCTTTTGCATTTATAAAATGTGAACTTTTTCCTTACAACAAGAAAAAAATTAATGTTTGGTTTCATCCACCTGATCTTACGGATATAAGAGGGAGATTGAATGTAATTAACGTTAATGGCGAAGGCGAGAAATGTGAATGTTACAAATCGCAACATGGCGTCAGCAATTTTCCCAGGTCACTGTCTGATGACGACTACGAAGTTTTCTTTCATGCAACAACTCACGAAAGCGCCAAAAACATCATAGAAACTGGTATCAATCTTAGTAAGGGGGATGCTAAACATAAAGCCGATTTTAGTAATGGCTGGGGATTTTATCTCGGGAAAGACTTTGAATATGTACTACGAGCAACGTGGAGGAGTCACAGACCCCGTTGTTCCGCCGTACTTGTATTTCGAGTGCCAAGGACTGAATTGCGGGGAGGTGGGAGAAATGGACTGGATCTGCAAGATGACTTGGAAGAGTGGCAAAGGATAATCAAGGAGTTCCGTGCCCCTGGAACTCCTTCTCGAAAGTTTCTTCGCGAATTGGAGCCTTACCATTTTATTGAAGGACCTTTGTTTGGCGCGGGGCAAAGCTTAAAAAAACCGATTTCAAATAGAGGGTCGTATCAGCTTTGTGTCAGACACTTAGATTGTGCTAGATTGTTTAATGAAAATCTTCATTCAGTATTGTTCCTTGAGCCTTAAAGCTAAATTTTCAGTTGTCACTTTTTGCATAAGTACTCATTGTACATGGAATATGTAGCATGAAAGGTTTTAAGGTAGTGTGATTCCTCTTCTTTTAGCGAAGGACAGAAGTGAACTACAATAGTCGTGTATTTTAGCCCTTGGTCTTTGTGAGTGAGTGTCCGTTTTTGTTGTTTAAGTTAAATAAAGAGTATACGAAAGGAGCGATTAATTTTGTTAGTTTCAGTTCTATGACTCCGACTTTTTTGGAACTGTTATGCAAACTTCTCTGGTAGGATTCCTTAAGGAATCTGAAATTACCATTCCTCGGACTGAGAGAGCAAGCTTAAGGTTGTAGTCTTATTTAAACGAATTTCGCCAGATTCTGAGAAAAATGTGGCTTACACTATTTTCACGACTGCGAGCACTAAACGCAGCTTTGTATTTTCACTGCCTTGTAGGCCAAAGGGGTTAATGAATCTTCTTAAAAAGGTTATTTCCTTCGCTTATTATCTCGAGATGCTCCTTTAAGGACCCCTTGGGCCGGGTCCTTGGATTCGTGTTCGTAATCGATAAACCGTTAGCCCTGCGTTATACATTTGTATTGACAACGGCAAGGTTGGAAGATGGGCGTCTTGACGTTGTTTCTGTCATGAATTTTATATATTCTTTACTGGAAATTGTCATTTCCATGTTGGAGGATCATGGCCTGTTTCTCTGTAGTCGTCTTTATCTGACCTGTCAAGACTAATCTGCAGAGCATAAAATTGACATTCGTTGACTTTTGTGCTTTCTTTGCAGTCTTAAATAGCTGTCTTTTCTACATGTGTGCCAAATGTTCGCTGGCTGGGAGATTTGGAAAAAATAATATGTCCTGCGAAGGAAAGTGTTGCTGGGAAATAAACAATTCAGGATGTCTGAGGGGATTAGATGTCCCGAATAGCTGCTCTGTGCTATTTGTCAGAAACCTTTCCCCCTCCCCATGATGTTGGAGGATCATGGTCTGTTTCTCTGTAGTCGTCTTTATCTGACTTGTCCACGTTCCGATGTGTCCATCCAGTAAGCAATGATTTTTGCGTTTCCCGCGGCTGCCATTTTGGTGACTGTATGCCCCTTAGCGCATGTCAAACCGGAGCTACCTGGATAAAAAAATCCTAACCGACTTGTGAAATCGATTAAAGGGTTTTCTGAACTTGAATTAATTTCCAAAGCAGGTGTTTCTACTTGTTTTTCTAATGGATTTGCTTTATTACTGACCATGTCTTCTTCCCCCGCTTTCCAAGCAAACTGTGCCGGCAGCGGTAGATGAAAGAAAATATTTTGCATATCTCTATGCCTCCAAACTAAAACCGCACAATTAACAGTTGGTTGTAGTATTGTGCTGTACACGCATGATAACTCACTACTGTCTGAAACTTGCTAATTCACGCGATAGGGTGCATGTTATTAATGTGCAGTAAGAATGAACGCAATTTGAGAGGAAAACTGTTTTCTGATAATCACGTAGTGTTATAACCTCCATTTTCATCCGAATTAAAAAGAAAAATTAAAGGCCAACAAAAGAAATAACAACTCAAATCCTCCCTTCCGCTCCACTGGGTCTCTAAGCTCCATCTCCTGTAAACTTCCCTCTGCCTTTCATTAATAGAAAAAGCCTTGTCATCAATTTTATTTGTCCCTTGGATTGATAAATCGGATTCCAAACATAGCAGCAGTTATGCGTTTTCCGAATATTTAGGGTAGAAAAAGCCGCTTCTTTCGTTTCTAAAAGGTTGTTGTGGCTTGGGCTTGGCCTCGGGTAGGCAGTGCCACAAGTCAGGGCACTGCAATCCATACCAGTGGCTATTCTTCGTGGCAGCACTGTTGACATAAATCGTTTTAGCACTCTGTGAACAGTGGCGAGTGAAGTAAATACCTCTTTATTGGTTTTGCAAAATCACGATTACATTTGTGTTTAATTTAGTTCTAAGCTATATCTTAGAATACTTGACAAAGAACCTTATTGTGGAAGATAAAGATCCTCCTTTCAGCATGGCTGATAACGTTTTGTGCGTCGGTAAAAGATATACATCACAAACGTGAGGTTTAAACCAGTATTGCTGAGTAGAAAAAGTATCTGCGAACGCATTTTATGTAAGGAACACAATAGTTCCGTTCAAAAAAATGAAATAATGCGTGAAAGCATTAAAAGCTTTAAAGCCAAAAGGCGTTGTGTATTTACAATAAACTGTTTTTAACAGTTTGCATTGATCAGAATGTCGAGAACATCTCTAGTTTAAAAGAACAACATTCCAACTGGTCTTTTTTCATACCAGATCACTTGTGTATATCTATACACCGTCGTTTTTATACAGTTTTTCTATCTTAAGTAAATTGTTTTTTTCTTGGCCGTGGATAGGTAAGCAGGTGAAAAACGTTATTTACATAGTGTTACATGCAATAGTTGTAAAACTAACTGATAAATTTGTGACTCCCAAAACGAAGAAATAATTAAGTTTAATTAAATACGATACCGCCTAAAACGGCCGAAGTATTAGTGTAATAGTAAAAATGTTAAAATCGAAAATCTAAACTGAAAACTATTCTTCTTACGATGTCTTTATTCTAAACAACAGGCGTCNGTTTTTTTCTTGGCCGTGGATAGGTAAGCAGGTGAAAAACGTTATTTACATAGTGTTACATGCAATAGTTGTAAAACTAACTGATAAATTTGTGACTCCCAAAACGAAGAAATAATTAAGTTTAATTAAATACGATACCGCCTAAAACGGCCGAAGTATTAGTGTAATAGTAAAAATGTTAAAATCGAAAATCTAAACTGAAAACTATTCTTCTTACGATGTCTTTATTCTAAACAACAGGCGTCGATCTAAAAATAAATGAAGTCTATTTGAAAGTGATAGAGGTTTCTGGAATACCATATTATGAATCCAGTTTGAAGTCTGCAGGCTTACTCATAGAGTAAGCCGGATTTCTCACTAGGAATCATCCTGTAGTCATCCTTGTATTTTACTTTAGCCTGTTTTTCATACTAAATCTTCAGCCAACTGTTTATATGAATCCTTGTGCATTGTGTGTATCAATTGAAAGTTCGTTTTCCATAATTTAAGAGACTGACGCAGGGAGCTGAGAGATGTCTAATTCCCGGCTTTTTTGTTTCCAGTTAGTACAAAAACATCAATTGTTCTTGACGAGCTGAGCGTAAAAATCGATGTATTTCTTGCCGTTATTTGAACTTATTGGGATATTGAATTGTCAACCCCTGAGGCAAGGGGTAGCTTTTTGCGGAAGATTCAGGCAGTGTACGTGGATCCCGGTGACTTTTATGAATCCTTGTGCATTGTGTGTCTACTATAGAAAGTTTGTTTTCCATAATTTAACAGACTAACGCAGGCGGCTGAGATATGTCTAATTCTCGGCTTTTTGTTTCTAGTTAGTACAACAACATTTGTTGTTGACGAGCTGAGCGTAAAATTGATGGGGAGCATTATTTGAACTTATTGAAATATTAAGTTGTCAAGCCCTGAGGCAGGGGGTAGCTTTTTGGCGAAACATTCAGACAGTGTGATCCCGGTGACTTACTTTAAATCACGAAGGCCTGGAGGAGATTTGAAACAATCTTTCTTTGTATTTGTACTCCGCAGGGCCACAGGACCAAATCGAACGCACCTTTAGTCTTTTTTTCTTGTCATTTTATGTAGAGGGAACACCCCTTTCGTTTTTTAGGCTTCAAATTTTCGAAGACTTCTGGAATTATTTATGGCTACTAATTGTAATGTTAAGAATTCCTTTCTTCTTTGACCCTATCTTGTTTATATGCCAAGGTAGTGAATATATACTTAAAGAACTAGTTTTTCAGTGTGGTCAGTTAGGAGAAGGATTGGCCTGTCTTAAGAGATTTTAAAGAATGAAGAAAAAAATCGAAGAGCTGTCTCAAAACCTTTTGCGAAGTCGTTTTTGTCACTTATGGAAGTGTCGGCTTGCTTCCTTTGACGTCACCTTCTCAAACTCATTAATAATTCATTAAGAAAATACAAAGGAAATTAATGTTTAATGAGTGTTTGGAAATCGGATGAAACACTGCTTAGTATTTGCATCCTTAATTTCTCCTTCAAAAATGATTTTGTTTGAGAAGAAATATCAAACATTCGACACAGTGTTTCATCACCAGATGAAACACCTCGAAGTTCGTCAAAAATACTCCGCTGCGCGTCGTATTTTCAACTCTCTTCTCGGTGTTTCATCTGGTGATGAAACACTGCATCTCATGTTTGATATATTACTTCAAACCTTTCGTTTTTGATCACGTACGTAAACGGACCAAGTGAAAGTGCTTATTTACGCTAAACTTTGATCATATGATATTTCATTTAACGCAAATGTCTCAAAATTTGTATCACCGTCACTGTTTAGAATCTTTCAGGCTTCAGAGATATCGAAAAAGATTGTCGAGTGAAGAGTCTTCTCAAAATCTTCTGCGAATTTGTCTGAAATAAGACACAATTGATACGATGAAGGTTTTGGCTTGCACTCCAATTCGTCGGAGGCTGCGCTTTTCGTAACTGTAGCGATGGGTCCTTCAATCAAGTCATATGACTTGTCTAAATCCTCCAGCATTTTTGCTGTTACCCTGTCATTTCTGAATAAAGACACCATTTTCTTCCATTTTTCTTCATCTTCGTTCAAATTCAGCTTGCGCGGTTTGTTTTCCATATACTCACGACTGACTACAAAAGATAAAATTGCAGGCCTCGCTGATAAACTTTTTGCCCACTTCCAAGCATGGTCTATTCTGTTCGTTAAATAAAATCCTTTTCCACAGGAAAAATCACGTCTTTGTCGACCGGCATATAAATAAATTCCCCGAAGTAAAATTTGGCGCGCACTTTCATGGTCTGTGCCATGGTGCAGGACGATGTTTTGATCGTCTTGTGGCAACGATTCACTGAGTTTAGCCTGAGCGTTGCTACAGGCATTGGATTGCTTTGTCGAGAGGTTTATAATCCTGACGCGGTCAAAGTTTATATTACTCTCTCTTTCTTCGTCAGGTATACTTGTTAAATTAAACCAGGTATTCGTTAGACTGCATTTAAAAGGAAACGTGGGAGTCAGGGGAGACAGCAGAGGATTGTATTTGAATTCGTCCTCAACAAACAACTGTGCCCATTCGCACGCTTCAATGTGCTGTTCCATGGATCCTTGAAATTCCGAGCGAGCCATGATAGTCTCGATGGCTGCGCTTAAAGGATCGAAACCGATAGATTGAAGCATTTCTTTACCGAGAGAGTTTTCGTTTGCTTTGACTGCGTTGTCTTTCAGAGATATTTTGATCCAGTCAGCAATTGTTCGATGGTGACGATGTTCTGGTGGCATCTCGTCAAAACCGTCGAGGAAGTCGAGTTTTAATCCAAGCAAAGCACAAAGTTGCGCTGTGTCGCTTTTAAGGAGATGGTAATCCTCTTCCGTCATCTTAAACTGTGCCTTTTCTTTCTCTTTCCGAACTTTGGTCAAGACTTCTTGTTCATCACTGTCTTCGTAAAAACCTACCTTTTGAATTAAGTCTTTACGTTTTTTAATGACTTCTTGGGCGTTGTGAATTGCGTTTTCGAGATCCTGAAAATTAGCATGTTTCTCCCTATCATTCTCTCTTGTCAGGTCTATTCGGCGTAGCATTACTTTGAATACGAATGAACGTTGTTCGAGGCTCCTTGTGATATAAAAGCGCCCCAGATCGTGGAGAAACCCAATTTCTTCGTCATTCATTATTGTAAGACCTATAAGTTCGTGAGGGGTCATCTTCACACCAATCTTAGTTTCTTCTCGAGCTTCAAAGTGGTGGCTGGACTCTTTTTCAGCTATTTCAACTTTGTTCTGGAAGTCTTCCACAACGTAATCATCTTTCAAAAGGATGCTTTCCGAAAAAAGTACGTTGAACCTACCAGACTCGTGTGGCGAGTACTTGAATAGCAACTGGGAAAGAATATCGGTGGATAGAGGACTGCAAAGTGAACTAGTTGCCATGTCAAATATATAAATTCAAAAAAGTGTCAAGATCTGTAGTCGTCGTCTTCAGAATATCTGCTGAATCAACACGTTTTCTGTGTTAGTTTCCACTCAATTTAATGCGCTCTGTGAATGTCTTACGTGGCGTCTCTTATAGCAGGTGTTAACAAGTAAGTATATACCGAAAATTCTGCCAATCATAAATCTCGGGAATCACAAGCAAAATACAATATGACATCATGTCCCCGAGGCTTTCTGTCATTTTTCCATATTTGGTTTTGTTTTGTTTGTGCTTGAGTCTCTTCTAAGAATTGCACGTCAATGAAGAATTTGCAATTTTGTCCGTAAAGCCTCGGAGTCATGTTAGAATTTTGATTTTTTTGTTTTTGCGGCTGAGCTCTCTCACGCCTGATTGGGTTTCCCCCGGCGCTTAAAACACAATAACTAGCCTTAGTATATAACATTGATTTTCTGTTTTGAGGTCTCCGCTTTAGTGTCACATCATGTAGAGAACAATTCTCAAAACTACACCGGAACCATTGCACAGGGCTCTAAAAATTAAAACTTAAATTCCAGCATGCCCTGTCACAATTTGCCTGCCCGGGGTTATTTCTTACCCGTCTAAGTGAGTGATTTAGTTAGAGGATTACTTGCCTGCACCCTTGCCTATAGGACAAGTAATGTTAAAAGTCACCTGCCGAGCAAGAAAATTTCGAGTTCTGATTGCATCCAATAGGATGTAAATATTGTGCTGATGCTAGCACTTTTTTCTAAAAATCTGATCGAGTCAAATATGTATCTATTGCCATTTTGCTATGGAAACAGGGTAATTATTGGCACTTTAGCCAATGAGAATCATTTCGCCTCTAGAATCAAATTTAGGGAGTAAGGAGAAAATTTCAGATCGTCAGAAATGTGTCGTAGTAGTTAGTGAGACTAACTAGCTGACTTTTGCGTAAAAGAGAAACTATCTGGCAGTCGAATTGCTAGCCTGTGCTGTGAGTTCGAAAGCCTCAAGGTATGGTTTTTATTTGGTTCAGTTACTGAGAACTTACTGCGGGTGGGAAATTTATGACTCTTGTAGCTGAAGACGTGATAGACTGGCATATATTCTTACTTGAAGCCTAACGAAGCATNGGGAGTAAGGAGAAAATTTCAGATCGTCAGAAATGTGTCGTAGTAGTTAGTGAGACTAACTAGCTGACTTTTGCGTAAAAGAGAAACTATCTGGCAGTCGAATTGCTAGCCTGTGCTGTGAGTTCGAAAGCCTCAAGGTATGGTTTTTATTTGGTTCAGTTACTGAGAACTTACTGCGGGTGGGAAATTTATGACTCTTGTAGCTGAAGACGTGATAGACTGGCATATATTCTTACTTGAAGCCTAACGAAGCATGCTGTCAAAATCTCCCAATTTCTATGGAAATTATTAAAATTATGTAGAAAAATTTGAGGGATTGGAGGTCAGGATTACACAAAGTTGCGTATATATCGTGTGAAGTAGTAATGGCTGATTTGACTTTAAGCTTGGAGAACGAATCGTGGCTTATTTGGCCAAGGAAAGGATATGCAGATCAAGCAACAGTAGAGAGACCGCTGGCAACTCTGTTATGGTTAGCTTGTTTTGGGATCGAGAACTTGCTGTTTTTTGCACTACGCCGCCATCTTTGGTCGTTCCTGTGTTCTGTTAGCTCCACTGCTTTTGCATTTTTAAAGTGTGAACTTTTTCCTTACAACAAGGAGAAATTTAATGTTTGGTTTTTTCCACCTTCTCTTAAGAATAAAAGAGGGAAATTGAATGTAATTAACGTTAATAGTGAAGGCGAGAAATATAAATGTTACAAATCGCAACATGGCGTCAGCAATTTTCCTATGTCACTGTCAAATGACGACTACGAAGTTTTCTTTCATGGAACAACGCACGAAAGCGCCAAAAACATCATAGAAAACAATATCATCCTGAGAAGCGGAGATGCTTCCAATAGAGCCGATTTTAGTCGTGGCTGTGGTTTTTATCTTGGGAAAGACTTTGAAAATATACTACGAGCAAAGTGGAGGAGTCACAGACCCCGTTGTTCCGCTGTACTCGTATTTCGAGTGCCAAGGGCTGAATTGCGGGGAGGTGGAATAAATGGACTGGATCTGCAAGGTGACCTGACAGAGTGGCAAAGGATAATCAAGCAGTTCCGTGCCCCTGAAAGGCCTTCTCGAAAATTTCTTGACGAATTGGAGCCGTACGACTTTATTGAAGGACCTTTATTTGGCGAGGGACAAAGCTTAAAAAATCCGATTCCAAACAGAGGTTCGTATCAGCTTTGTGTCACAAGCTTGGATTGTGCTAAATTGTTTGATCAAAGTCTTCATTCGGTATTGTTCCTTGAGCCTTAAAGCTAAATTTTCAGATGTCACTTTCTGCATAAGTACTCATTGTACAATGAATATGTAGAATGAAAGGTTTTAAGGAAGTGTGGTTCCCGTACTTATTAAAAGGACAGAAATGAACTACAATAGTCGTGTATTTTAGCCCTTGGTCTTAGTGAGCGAGTGTCCGTTTTTGTTGTGTAAGTTGAATAAAGAGTATAAGAAAGATGTGATTAATTTTGTTAATTTCAGTTCTGTGACTCCGACTTTTCTGCAATTGTTGTGCAAACTTCTCTGGAACCTTTTCCTTAAGGAATCTGAAATTAACATTTCTCAGAACGAGAGAGCAAACTTAAGGTTGTAGTCTTATTTAAACGAATTTCGCCATATTCTGCAAAAAATGAGGCTTACACGATTTCACAACTGGAAAAACGTAGCTTTGTATTTTCTCTGATTATGTTCGCTTGTAAGCCAAAGGGGTTAATGAAAAAAAGTTATTTCCTTCGCTTATTATGTCGAGATGCTCTTTCAAGGACCCCTTGAGCCGGGCCCTTGGATTCGTGTTTGTAATCGACAAACCGTTAGCCCTGCGTTATACATTTGTATCGACGACAGCAAAGTTGATAGATGGGTGTCCTGACGTTGTTTCTGTCATGAATTATATATATATTCTTTAATGGAAATTTTCATTTGTATGTTGGAGGATCATGGCCTGTTTCTCTATAATCGTCTTTGTCTGACTTGTCAAGACTATTCTGCAGAGCATAACTTTGACATTCGATGGCTCAGTGCTTTCTTTGCAGTCTTAAACAGCTGCCTTTTTTTTTCGTGAGCGACATCATGTGAACATTTCTATTGCCGTAATAACTTAAAACGAGTACAACGCTTAAATAGACATATCAAAAATCGTGAACAGTTTGCCAAGTCAGTTTTAAAATTTTCCCGAATTTGCACTGACTTCCCCGGGGCTCGACCCATTGTTTTTGTTTCGTAAGACAATTTCAAGTAAATAGTTGTTAGCGAGGTCAGTATTTCTTCATGGCTATCAAATAAGTGAACTGGGACTCTATCTAAATCACACTTCATTGCAGACATCGGAAGAGGTTTTATTCTTTTCATTCGATTTTCAGGTTTCTTTCGTTAACTTGTGCTCATAAAACAATGCAAACCAACTTAAAAAGGAATCGTATTTTTAAACGGTGATGAAGTATGTGGTATGCTTGATCGAATTTTCTAGAAATCTGACATTTGACCATATTCATGTTATCGTTAGTCACTCTGAGAAAGTGTTTTTGAGGCGAGGATTGGTGGTTGGGGGAGCGGGTGTGTAGGTACAGTATCAGTAGAAATATTTGCATGTGACTAGGTTAACCCGTTCGAACCTCGAGTGCAAGCTAGTTAGTTTATACCGTGTAATAACATTTTATAAACGAATAAGATGAATGGAATGGTTTACCCAATCATATTAGAGAATCAAACAGTACTGCAACTTTTAAAAGAAATGTTTTAAGCTTTATTAAGGATAACTAGAACATTTAGATCTCTATTTGCATATATTTTTGTTATATTTTAATTAGTGGGGGCATCCCTAGTATGGCGCATTGGCGCTTTTGGTTGTCTCCTTCTCCACACCTTTTTTTTTTTTTTCTTATAGTAGTGTTAGCTTATTTCATTTCATTATTTGGTTGTAATGTAGTGGAGTGAATCTGTAATAAATAAATAAATAAATAAATAAAAGAATGAAAAAAAAGTATAATAAACTTACTCAATTTATGTAGCCTTGAACCAAAAATTGTAGTATTGAGCCAAGAGCCATTATGGCTCTTGATTGAACTTAGCGCAGCAGTTGTGCGAATTTGGCAGTTTTGTTTTTCCATTTTCAGTGATATTGCAAGGGCACAATTCCTGCTCAAGGAGTCATTTCTGATTTCTCTCTGGAATTTCTCAGGTTTCAATTTTTTTCGACTGACACGGTTTTGCAATAACAATACCGACTTTCTTTGAACACGAAATAGAAAGATGCAAATTGTAACTGCAGTCAAAGTAGTCCCTTCTTTCTAGCAAACGCATAAGGCCATGTTCACACTATAACGAATAGCTTTTGCGCTGGCGCGGATATCATACCGGATAGGGCTGGCCTCTGTTCACACATAAGAGCGGTGATTTTTACGCGATTTCTACGGAGCGAATATGCGCCGCGTCAATCTCGAAGGCCACATATTAGATAGGTGTTCACACCATACCGGATAGCGTTTTGTGTTAGCACAAGAAGCTATTCGCTATAGTGTAAACATAGCCTAAAGATATCCCAATGATCTTTCACACAAGTTTTAAAAAATGATTGAAAACTACTTTGAGATGAAATTGCACTTCAAAAGCGCGGTAACGACTGAGCATCAAGATCGTCCAGTTCTTACCTCATTTCTTAGCATAACTGCAGTCAAAGTAGTCCGCCCTTCTTTCTAGCAATCGGATAAGGCCATGTTCACACTATAACGGATAGCTTTTGCGCCGGCGCGGAAATCATACTGGATAGGGCTTCTGTTCACACATAAGAACCGTGATTTTGACGCGATTTCTACGGAGCGAATCTGCGCCGCGCCAATCTCGAAAGCCACATATTAGATAGGTGTTCACACTATACCGGATAGCGTTTTGTGTTAGCACAAGAAGCTATTCGTTATAGTGTGAACATTGCCTAGAGATATCCTCATGATCTTTGACACAAGAAAAAATGATTGAAAACTACTATGAGATGAAATTGCATTTCAAAAGCGCGGTAACGGCTGAACATCAAGATCGTCCAGTTCTTACCTTATTTTTTAACATAAAAATTTCATTCAAAAAAATCTCGAAAGCGCTCACACAGATTTTGCTCAAACGGCTCCTCACGTAATTTCCAACCTCATCCAATAACTTTTTCTCATTATGTTTGGTAATAACTACTAATAGTTTACTTGTTCCAATGTGGTCAACATGGTTTCTTTCCTTACATATTCCACCAGAACTCATCACTCGATGGCCACACCCTCGAACTCAAGATGTCGCACAGGAAATCCTCGTAAGTAGAGCCATACCTAAGAAATTTTTTTACTTAAATCCATGTTTCGTTCTTGTTGTGGCTTTAAGTATGGTGTAGCATCTGTCAAAAGAGCCCGTCTCACGTGCGTTCATTAACCCCGTCGTTTACTACCAAGCAATTGCGAAAGGACTCCTTAAAGCACCAGCCCTACACTAAAGATTTAGTAATTGTTGACTGGACCGACAGTCCTCTTACAGTCCTCTTAACAATCCTCTTATGGCATGAGTATTGTAGGTCACTATATCCAAACCAGCGCGTCCCCCAACTCAAGTTAATCAGGAACTAGCAGAGAAGATTGTAGGCATCATACCTGGGTAGCTCCGTTGGTAGAGCATTCAGTCTTACTCTCAGGGATGTGGGTTCGAGTTCCATGATTGGAGCAGCAGAAACTTTTTCCTTGTTTTTATTTGACAACTTTACTAGACCATGTTAAAAATGTGTTGAAATACTAACCATTTTGCATATTTCATTTCATTTTCAGCGATAAAGTATCACAACGTAAGTCAGCTACAGCAACGAAACAAAACAGTTCTAAAATATTGGTACGAAATGTACCTTTCGAAGCAACAAGAAAAGAACTCAAAGAACTGTTTGGGTGAGTATTTAGTGTTGAGGTTGAAAATACAATGGCTTCCAACGAAAAAAAGTATCTAAAAATGTGGAACGAAATTTACCTTTAGAACGAAAAAAAAAAAACATAAAAGAATGTGTTGGGGTGTTTTTTGGGTTTGAGGTAGAAAAAAAAAGGGCTTCCACGGTTTGAAAAAGCTTATAAAGGGGGAACGCCAAAAGGAAGCGCCCACCGGGGGCGGTTGGGTTGGGGGGGGGGGGGATCGAACACCAGCCACTGCACAAAACGGACACCCACATACAAAGGTATCGAATTAACTGTAAACCTCAGAAGAGAAACGAAGGAGGTCGTTCGGAGATCGCCAAAGCAATCATAAGCAGCAACAACAACAGCAGCAACACTCGCTCGGAGTGAGCGTTGAAAGATACTGTTGTTCTTCGGGGAAAAAAAAAGAACTGCAGTGAATCATGCTTATGAGGATACATGTAAAGAAATCCGAAACTCAAACTTTGCTGAGAACTGTTAACGTCCATCGTTTAGCCTAATAAAGCTCTTTATTTCAACGCCAGACGTCAACAGTTACCTGTGGCGTTTCGTTTTATGCAACTGGCCTCAGAGTGCACAATGCTTATCATGTCTCTTCTCTCCCCCTGTTACCAGAAGATACCATTTTGGTCGAGGTTCCGATACCCACTTCGCAACAAATCAACAAGTGGTAGTATCCCGATTGGTATGTGTCGTTTAAGAGGATGTGGTTTTCAGGGTATACAATTTTCACTATATAGCGACATGAACAGCGTGTCTTTTGGATCGAAAGCCTTCAAAAGAGTGTTGCAGTCCACATGCTTGGTACCAGCAATGTAATTAAGAGAACTAATTCCATGACGTTAGTTTAACAAATTACTTAACTCTGTGAGCCAAACGAAGTGCATCAAGGTGATGAAATTAGGTCTCTTGTCTTTATCAGGGTAGCAGGATTTTGGCCTTAGCGTCAGAGCCAGCTCTACTCAAACTTCCCTTGAGTGCCTCCTTGGGGTACTATATACTTGCTTTGAAAATCTCCTCGCATTGCAGTTTTAAAAGTAGGGCCAAAGACAGACAATAAACAAAAAATTCTATTCTTTTTGTTATTTCCTTCACAGCACTTTCGGAGAAATCAAAACAATTCGGCTTCCTCAAAAGCTGTCGGGATCTGGAACACATAGAGGATTCGCATTTGTCGACTTTCTCACTAAACAAGACGCAAAAGTAAGGAGCCTGCATTTTGTTACTATACAGTAAAGTCGTATTCTATTCCATGACGTTAAACGTATATACTTTTAGTGCTAATTACAATACTTTTTAAACTTATCTAAGAAGTATTTACAAAACTACCTAAAAGCTGGTTCCTTAAGAGGCGTTTAAAATTGTGAACAGGTTGACTTAATTTAAGAGAAGGTTCCAAATTGTTCCAAAGCTTAATAGTCCCGTAATAATAAGTTCTCTGTCCAGAGACTTTTCAGAAAAGAGGGATGTTCAGCTTTTGGCTACTCCAAGTTGTTCGTTTGCTAACTTGCTCACGGGTAATAAATTGGGAAGTAAGATATTTCAGGGGCTTGGTTGCGGTCATGCATTTGAAGGCCTTCAGCTTTGTGGTAATAGTTGGTCCTTTACAGGCAACCAAGGCTTCCGAAGAGGGGTGTTACACGATCATATTTTTTTCACACTGCTGACGATTCGGCAAGCAAAGTTTTGAACAGCCTGCAATTTCCTGACGTTCTTATATTTGATATTTGCCCAAACATTCGAGCAGGCGCTCCTCTCAATATTCTAGTAACTCTTCTTTACGAAAGTGTTATCAAACAAGTAGACTTCGAGTTAATAAACTCACTGACAGCATCTAGCCTGTCCACAGATGTTTTGTTCTTTCTTTTTTTGGTGGAATTTGGCGAGCGCGCGAAAGCAAACACGAAGCTTCTTCTTCTTTCAGGCTTTTAAAAAGGAATTGCGATGTCCACGTGTTATTTACTATTTCAAGCCACTCACACTCCCCATTCCTAAGACTGAACTTTCGGGGCATTATCCACGGATAAAAAGATCTAACGTGCAATCTATAAATACATTGTTATAAATTTAGAAATTGAGACAAAACTGGAAAAAGAATTGTCGTCTTCTATTCTGGACATGGAACCCTTGACAAGGGACCCTCAACGAAAAGTTAGACTCGCAATCGATGTATTCTACTTTATGAAAATTATGGAAAGCGACGACAAGCGCCTCGAAGCAATGAGAAACACTTCGGACCGCATTTCGCGTGCCCGAATAATTCAGTGTCATTTGGCCGATGGAGAAAGCAAATTTCAGTCCACAGACCGTCGTCTTTTCGCATTTACCCACCCCTACTCCTCGCGCTAGCGGCCAATAATACCCAGTGGTTCGTAATTTCTCACTCGCGCTCGACAATCTGTAAAGAGAGAACAGAGGTCTGTGAACAGGCTATCAACAAATGGACGTGTTTCATTGTAGATAAAATCCTTTCTGTTATATTAGAGCACAGATGAATTGAATTTTTAAAACAGGTTGGAAGGCGTTTAGTGTGGTCAGTTGTCGTGCACTTTTTGCCGTGACTGTCTCTTCCTTCAAATGTTGTTTACTAAAAACCATTTGTTTTGGTTTCGCAGAATAAACCAAAAGCAATTCCCCACTCCAGAAATTGTAAGGGGGAATGGATACAAGCTTTCGGCGACGCGATTTCTGTTATCTTTTGGTTGGACAAGCGCTAGTTATGATTGGTGGATGGTATTCAAGTCAACCATTAACCAATTATAAGTAACGCTTGTCCACCCAAACGATCCCAGAGATCGTTGCGCCGAAAACTTGTGTTCATTCCCCTTATAGTTTCTAGAGTGGGGAATTACAATGTCATTTAAGGGCCCTCTG